GAGAGAGAGAGAGAGAGAGAGAGAGAGAGAGAGAGAGAGAGAGAGAGATCGAAATTCGCAACTCAAAGTTCTATAGTGAGAAAGCTCTCGAAAGATTAAATATCTATCAATGTTATATTACGAATGGCTATTTAAGATTTCAAGAAAAAACTAATATTAGTAACGTGCACAGAATGATGCATCAATTCGTGGCAGCAGAAAATGTGGTTACAAGTTCTCATAATGACGGTACAACTTTGCAAGCTCCTGGAAATCAAGAAAATGAATAAAATCAAACTTCATTGATGTATTGATGTCATTTTCATGTTATCATTTTTTGTTCTGCTTGTATAAATACAAATTTAAAAAATAACAATTTTAGAAATAATCTATATTTATTTTTGAAAGATTTAAATTCTACATTTGCAAAAATTTACAAAAAGCAATGAAATCCCTAAAAAAACCTTTAAAAAAAGATGTTGAATACATTTTTCTTAATCAAAAACGAATATGAAATAAATGTAATTAGCCAAGAATTTCACGCAAGACAAATAAGAAGATTAAAAAAGTAATTAAAAAGTAATTAAAAAAAAGTAAAATTGTCAACTGGATTATAATAAAGAAAAAAACTTGGCGTGCTTGAATTGCGTGCATTAATTGCACTTCTGTGAATATATTATCTCAACACATTATTTGCATTATAAATTAAAATATAAAAATAATAGATATATGTATATAAATGTAATATATAGTAATATAGTTTGTAGGATAATATTCACAAATAATGTAGAAAATATTCACAAATAATAGATGTGATATAAATTACGGAGAAATAATATGTAATAATATTGATTTAGATATAACAACATTATAGATATATTTACGAGATTAGTAAGTAATTATTAACATCTCTTCTTTATTGAATTATTATTTCCATGTATTGTGTATATTTGCAAAATATTGTATGTAATAATCTTTTTAATAATTCGCAAATAATTTCCATACTGTTTAAATATATTGATCTTAGAATATTATGTTTTAATGCGACCCGGACACGTTTTTTCAAGTTTTTTCTTCACTATAATCCAGTTGAATATAATCCAATATATAATCCAAATATAATCCAATTTTAATTACTTTTAATCTATCTTATTTGTCTTGCGTGAAATACTTGGCTAATAATATTTATTTTATCCGTTTTTTATTAAAAAGAATGTATTCAACACTTTTTTTATGACTTTTTTTACTTGACGTAAATTTTTCTTTTTTTAAAAAGGTTTTTTATTGAATTATATACAAATCAATATATACAAATCTTAACACTCAAAGCGACTTTTCTAATACAATCGGCACAAAAGTCATTCTGTCTTTGTTTTTTATTGATTATTGAACAAGGATAGGATGACTCTTGTATCAATTTGTGTTTCCTGCTGAAAATATTTTTAAAATATTACTACAACATTGCTGAAGTAATATTATAAAAAGAAGTCTTCGCAAAGCAATTGCTACAAGTTTTTGCTACAAGTTTGCTGTACGGGTTCTTACATCG